TCGAGTACTCAAATTAAAGCTAAAGATTCACGCTTTCGAACGATGTCAACTTCATTTGCGCGCGATTTTTATTTTACTTTTTTGGAACTTCGCAAACTTGGTAAAAAAATTTTTAGATTTGATGCATCTCCATTTGCATCCGTGCAGCTTTGTAAAGAATCAGTAAGTCATTTAATGAATTATGGATTTCAAAAGTAGAGACTTTAAGCTGCGAAATGCTTTTTCGATCGTTATGTTATGATAATTTTTGACAAAGTTGCTCTATCTTGAATTTTTAGAAATTATCGATATATTAACGCAGTGTCCGGTCAATTAGTTTGGTGACTGTATATACGGAGAAAATTTTATATTAAATTTTAATACAATTTTGAATCATATTTTACTATTTTTTGTATTGTCGGTAGACTATCATGACTTTATAGATTAAATTACAATACAACATAGTAAAATTTAAAACTAACTTCACCTTAACAATTTTTTAATATTTGACATAGTAAAAATTCGTAAGTCAAAGTTATAATTTTTATTGTAAAGCTATAATCTTTATTGAACGTATGATAGGTTATGTATCTATTGGTCTATTGGAATCTATTGGTTAGATTGAAAGAATTCCAAGATTCATAAAAATAATCGGAACACAAGACGTCTCTAAGACATCTTTTATAGACATCTTTCAGACGTTTCTTGCAAAGATGTTTTTAAGATGTCGACGTCTTTAACACATCTTATGTTCCAATTTTGGACCATATGTTGTCTGGGTTACGTATTCTTTCGCTTTTTTAAATGACACAGCACTAACTAAACATAATATTAATATCGATTACAGCCAAGCTTTTCTCTCTTTCGTTGAGCAGTGTGACTTCGGCTGCAGCGTTTGATTGCTTCTGCCGGTTCTTACAAGGAACGAATACTTATCCTACTTCCTATGAGTCTATTTTCCTTCCCCATAAGTTCTTAACAACGAGAGTTATTGAATTTCAAATGTTTTGACATAACTTTTACTATGTCAACACTAATTTTTGTCACATAAATACAGTAATTTTTGTAAAACCGGCGCTCAAGCCACATTCCACAGTAAAAAGAGTTAATTTTTACTATGGTATGCAGTAAAAATTTACTCAGGAAATATTTTTTACTTATCTTTATGATATTAACTTTTATCCAATAAGTTTTACCTTTGTAATATAAAAATTTTTACTATGAGAAAATATAAAAATTACATTGCACTATTGTTTTTAAAAAAATGGCTATAGCATATAAACTTATAATTTCCTGATGGTCCGCAGTTCCTACCGTATTATAGTAATTTTTGCTATAAAATTTTCTCCGTGTTCTAATAAAAGAATTGTTAAAGTGGTTAAAATTTTAAAACATTGTAAGTTAAAATAAAAGTGTAAATATATAGTAAGATATATTTGTACGATTTATTAATTAGTAGGATAAAGATATTAGTTTCGAATCATCCTAAGAATAGAAATTTATATTTTCATTTAGTATGATATCAAATAATTAATAACATGTTTAATAATTATAATTAATCTTAAAGAATATTTTATAGATAATATAATTATATAAGATAATTTTAGTATCATTATATATTTTTTAAGTTTAATTAATGGAAATAATGAAAATGATGCACAATTAGACCTCTGCATCTATTTGTGGATCAGATTATCCGCGAAGTACATTTAATTTTAATTTTGTACTATTTACTAATTCTTGTAAAAACTAATCTATTAAACTTTGCATTTTTAAACATACATCTAAAAATTGACATTTCACGTTTTATTACTTAAAGATATTAATAAAATGTGCAGTTGATTGCTAGTATATATTCTAAACAATAATTCTAAATAACAATAATAATTCTAAACAAGAAATAATTGACGATTAATAAAACTAACATAAATTCATATTTAAAAATTTCATGATATGCAGCATACAATAAAAAATACAATAATTATTTAAATATAATAAATTATTGACAAATTATTTAAATATATAAATTATGGATCAGAACAAATGCTCACGATCCATATTTAGTGTCCTTGCCCTACGTAAGAGAACACAATCATATTCATATAACAAAATGCATAATTTTAACATTTTGCTATGACATGCCTTATATTGTAAACATTATTTTGATTATTACAGTATTTTTTGTAACAATTTTAAAATAATATTCAAAAAATTTTAAATAATTTTCAAGGAAACAAGTTTTCTCTTAAAAAAATTAAGAAACACACAGGCACAGCTGTAACATTTATTTTGGCACATCTCTATCAACACTCTTACAAATTTCTATACTCAGAATGTTTTAAAACTGCAACATTGATAACACGAATTTAAGGATTAATAGAATGTAATAAATCAAATACTTTTCATGCAGTAAACCATCATATGAAATATACTCGTATATCACATTTTTCCAATACATAGTAATGAAGTTGTATTAAAAGTGTTTTTAAAAGGTTTTTAAAAGTGCTCTTAAATTTTAAGAGCACTTTTGCAATATTATATTACAATACTTGAAATTTTGCTTTTCGACAAAATGCATCAAAAGTAGAACTCCAAAATTAATTCCGAATCGACATCTAAAAAATCAATTCTACAATTCCTTGAAACTATGAACTGTATAAAAAAGAAAACAGCATTTACAAGAAATTCAGAAAATTGTTAAAAACAATAATATCATGCAATATTTGTAATTCAGATAATACATTTTACAAATGTACGATACCTTTCATTTTTCTTATCCCTTTTTTATATAAAATTAAATAGCACTTATAATTTACTGCATATCTGAAATATATCTAATTTGAAAGTGCATATGATAATTCTAATAAATTTTATAGTAATATAGCAAAGAAACTTTTTTTGTATATGACATTTTTTTACTTAAAAACCGTCTAATTTATCAGCCTCCATTAATTCTTACATACAATGTGATTGATGTTGTTCGGAAACATTATATAGTTATACATATAGAGTCCGTTTTGTCTATATATGTATATATTTTCAGTTTTGCAAATACATATATACAAAAATTATATAATTTTGCAACATGCAATTACATATCTTTTTTGTAAAGCAATTATTATATTTTTTTTTACATCAATTAATATCGTATAAATATTAATATCGTATTAATATTGTACTTATAAATTATTCTGCATATAAAAGTATTAAGGTACAGTTATCAAAAAATGAAAAGTTTGCAAAATATATCATATTTTATGTAAAAATGTGCCAGAATAAAATATAAAATATCTCGTAAATTATTGATTTTTTATAATTTTGTTTTAATACTTTTATATGCAAAGTAATTAGAAAAAAACATATTATACTAGCTGTTAAGAGGATCCTAAACCCTAGATCAAACTCCAAAAATCCGCTGTTTTACCGACAATTTATGAGTATGTATGCGTGCGATATTGATGTAGTAGTATGTAGTGCTGTGTCATGTTTATTACCACATCAATATATCTCACGCATAAATATACACAAATTTGTCGGTTACTAATATATCTTTATTTAGGCTTCTATACTTAATTTTAACGACTCACCTATATTCATTTCTTTATTGTACATCTGGCTCTGCCTTCATTTCGAGCATATAACCTGCCTAACTTTTTCACGAAGTAAACGTTTTGGTAAATTGATAGCATTGGTCGCCATGTTGAGGTT